GATTGCCTACATCCTGAAACGACACGGCACATAAAAAGAGAGAAACTAGAACTACAAATCAACCATTCGCCCTTGCATGGAGTATTGCTGCCATATACGGTCTGGAGGTTCTGTCTCGAGGTTCTTGATAAAATCCAGAGACGGATATGCAACATAATTGGCCCTGATCTGGCATCTCGTCTGCAATCGCTCACTCACAGACGTGCTGTCGCCTCCCTCGGTCTTTTTTACAAATACTTTCACAGTAACTGCTCTGAGGAGCTGCTTTCGCTGGTTCACAAACTTCATGAATTTAAGCGTTCAACTAGGCTGTCATCTCACTCTTTCACTGTTGAAACTGTTAAATGTAGCCGTCTCTTCTACTCCAATAGCTTCATATTTCGCACCTCTCGCCTGTGGGACTCCCTTCCCTTTTCTTGTTTCCCTGATAGCTATAATCTCCAACTATTCAAATGTAATGTCAATCGACGTCTCCAGATGCCTTGATCTATACCCTATCCTTCTCTTCATCCTTTCCTCTATCACTTCTATTTGCTCTAGCTCCAACTCTCTGTAACACCTTGCTTCCTAGTAGCTTCCCGCCTTGCTTGAGGTGAAATGCTTAAAAAAAATAAAAAATAAAAAAATATATATATTCCAAGAAGTAAGCCCCAGCCATCTAAGCATTCTTTTGTTTTCTATTTAAGATAAAGTTAAGCGGTAATTGTCTTGTTTACGCATGTGGCAAATACAACCTAAAATGAAATTATTTTACAGTTTCACTTTTGTAAGCGCAAAAACTAATAAAAGCCAACTCATTTCCTGGTCTTTCTCCAAACTGCTACACGTATTGACAGCATATATTCAGCCCTCACCCCTTTTACAATTTCATCGTCCGGTTCTAACTCCTCCCTGATCTCTTGACTGGGAGTAGAGTTTATTCCTTGTTTAGGATCGGGTTTCTGGTTCCTTCTAAAAAGTCTTTTCATTCTTGTTCACTCCCAGTAGCCCCTTGTGCCTTATTGGCATTATCACCTTGCTTGGGGTAAAATGATAAAAAAAAAAAAAATTGTAGAATGGGATTACACTAGTAAGGATTGAGAGTAGTTAGACATGTTTAACTTTTTAGTGTCCAGGAATCACTAAAAATAAGAACAAAATGACTTTGCACCGAATGTACAAGTTGCCTGGAATTTTCATTAAAATAAAAAGTTATACTTGCCACATGAGCAAACTAGAGTGTTTTTTTCTTACCATTTAGTGGGTGACTAAAGATGTGTCCATAAAAAAATACATAAAAATTAAATTATAGTGTCAAAAAATAATTATATAATTATCCTTAATTCCCTTATTCTAAACCAATGAGAATTGACTCCACTTTTCTCCACTACACACAAACATGTGGCATTCCCACTATCGGACAAGCAGTTCACACAGACAGGCCGTCAAAACATGCGTCAACGAAAATTTCATCTACTTTTCCTTTTTCAGGCTATAACATTTATCACTTAATTAATACTCAACAAAGAGAGGCAAAAAATAAAAAAAATAAGTACTCCAGAGGCTTTTTGTATTTTTCCAACTAATCTGGACAATTATTATTACACACATCTATAAAGAAAAATAAATAAATTACGAGAAAGACACTAATTCTTTATCTTATTCTGTCGGATTACGACCTATATTTGATCAACATTTGACCCCAAATTCACAGTCTGTGTCTCCAACACCACATAACCAGATACTCGTTTTGTTTGTTGTTTTCTACGTCTTGCTGTTTCTCAGTTTTACGAGTATTTTTGTAGTAGGGAATTAATTATTTACTCAAGCAAGCTCAAGCAAGAGTCAAAATTTATAACAACTCCCCTTACAAAGGGCAATGGAAAGATCATTACCAACAGAAAGGATGATTACTGTGGGTGGTGGAAAACGTGCACTTGTGTGTGTTTTTTTTTGTTTTTTTTTTTTTTTTAGCAAATGCATCTTAAAACAACGATTTCGAAGCCACCAAGAAATAACATGAAAGAATGCCTACAAATGTGTACGATGATTCGAGAGTTTTGCACACAACAAATCCCTTTGAGTATTAGCGTGTCCGATTCTCAATATATAGATACTCCAATATTGTGGCCTTGTGCCAGATAAAGCTAAATTTCACGGGGAGCCTTCAAAATGAAAAAATAAGGCTTGATGTCACGGGGTTGTTAAGAAGGAACCGACCTAAACATGCGAAGAGACGTTTGGAATAATTTCAACAAACAACACATTTGTTTTTTTTTTTGTTTTGTTTTATTTATTTATTCCTTTGATTTTGGTGAGGGGGTTTGTTTTGAAAATTTTATTTTTTAAATCTTAATTTAATTTATTGAAATTGCGAAACTAAATGTGTTCTAAAAACCTAAATATTTTTTTTTTTTAGAAACGGTCTATGGAGTCTCTAAATTTTAATTATTATTAAATGTAGTTTGTAATTTTAATAATATAAAAAGTGGAAAAGATTTCGGCGTAAATAAAAGATCATTTTCCTTTATGATTCACTTTTGAAATAACACACGCGCACCTGAAAGATTTGAAAATTAAATAACACAGGGTCAAACACAAAATTTTTAAGGGTCACTTGGCTGCTTTTAATTTAATTTGAATTTTTCAAAGCTGGAACCATGTGGGTGTTTATAAATATTATTTTTAAAATTACCTAGTTTAAAAAAAATGAAAAAATATTTTTCTATTGCATTTTCTTTTTTCTAAACAGAAACTAAAATCAGCTTATTTCTGAGAACTGGTATAAAAGATGAAGATGCCGGGGGGTCAAGAGTTCATGACCAGTCTCCTCACTTTACAATTGATACTGGACAAGGCCTGCCTTATGTGCCTGCTATGACCATCACTCACAATCAACAGTATGGATTTTTTCGTAACAAAATATCTGAAAGACAATTCTCGGAAAAGCGTGGTACTGCTTCTTATCTGAATTCAGAGAATTGAAACTCTGCAAATTCTTATCAACACACTTATTGGAAAAAAAAAAACAAAAAAAAAAACTCAGAATTTATTAAATTTACATACCCTTTTAAATTTTTACAATAGAGACAAAAAATATCTTCTTTTAAAGAACAGTTGGTTGGCAAAGCAGAAAAAGATAAATTGGTCGAATGTAAAGAAAACTCATGTACTTTTATGGTGCACAGGTGAAAATGAAAGAAGAGAGACGAAGCAAATCTGTTGCTAGGTGACGATGAATGAAATAAATTAAATTTTTATTAAAGTCATAATGTTGATCCTTCCCAGAGCTTACGAAATGGTGACTGGCCCCATCTCTTTCTAAATTTAGAGAAAAGAAGGTAAAAAAAAAAAAAAAAAATGACTTAAAAAAATAAATAAATAAAAAAATAGTAAACGTTTAGTTTAAACTTTAAAGGGAACAAGAATTCTTGTTTTTACCAGCCACACCCAAGTGTCCTCATGTAGGTGTATAACCACATGTGATCATGAAGGTACCCCACGTCCCTAGTCAGACTACATTTCATTAAAAATAAAACTATATACATTTTTTTTAATCGTTAAGGACATGAAAAAAGTAGAATAAGAAACGTAACTGCCAGTCCCATGTTAGAGAGAGAGAGCTAGAGACTTTAGGCGGGTAGTCTATGCCTATGTATGTATGGTGGTCCGAAAGTCTTGTCCCCCTCCTACATAATATCATTTTTTCTATTTCAGATGGCTGACAAGAGCTCCTACACGAAAATGGTGTTTCTACAGACCTTCTCGATGTATGATATCGTCAATGAAAGTGAATAAACTGAATCCAGTACACGTGCTTTTTGTATTAATTAACTTATATTGTTCAAATTAGTAAGTGGGTGACAAGACTTTCGGACCGCCCTGTATAATAAACTAAACTAAACTAAACACGTTTTACTTTTGTTAAAAATTCAACCGACAAGATCTTTGTTGTTTTTTTTTTGTTTTTGTTTTATTGTTATTTCACTTATTCGAACACTGCAAACATACAATAAACACTAACAGGGGCAGAGTTTTGAAATAAAATCAAATTTTTATTTAAAAACGTTTTTTTTAGCCCTTGTTGTGCATATTCGCTACACGCACTGTCCTAAAGAAAACTTGTAAGGACACAAGAAAAATTGAAAAATAAATATATATAAAAATAAATAAAAACCTACAAAATATTCCTTTACCTGTCATACTATTAATTAGTGAAGCATGCAAAAGAAAAGGGTTACTACCCAAATATACAAACTCAGTTTTTTTTTTGACACGGGTGGGCAAACATTTTTGCCCACCCGTGGGTGGGCAGGTAACATTTTTTGGCAAAGGCAGGGTAGTCTGCTAGTCATTTTTTTTTTTTTGCCAGGAAGCAAAAAATAAAAGAAACAAAAGTAAAACTGATTCATTTTTAGACTAGAGACATTTCTGAGTTTTCTCTGAAAACATTTTTAGTTTCAAAGTAAACAAAATAAAAAACACGTTTTTCTAGAGTTTTTTAAAGAGGAAAATACATATTTTTCGCGCTTTTGCATAAAAAATAAAACAACTTATTTAGATTTTATAAGAATAGCCGTTATTTTCAATGTCTCGAATGCTTGTTTTTATTATTATTATTTTTTTTTTTTTTAAGGATTTTTAACTATTTTTTTTAAAACATTTAAAAATCACCCCCACCGAAAGAAATTTTTCGCAAAGTAAAACTTTAAAAAGAATCAAGATTACAGAGGAAAATTATTTTAGAAATTAAATAGAACTATTTTTTATATTTTTTTTAATATAAAACATGTAAAATTAAATTCTGAATATTGTTGTCCCTCAAATCTAAAAGTAAAAAAAAAAAAACGTTAATTTTCTGAAAAGAAGCGTTTGAGATCGAACCCGTTTTTTTTTTGTAAGAAAAGATTAAAGTCCGTACAGGTAAAAACGGTTTGAAAATCCTGACATCAGGATTGTTATATATGTATATAGGTGTTTAAAAAAAAAAAAAAAGAAGAAGGAATAGATTATTAACTTACCTGTGAGTAGAGGTTGGACAACAACATTTTGATTGTGGTGTTGATCGTTTTCTGAACAACACGGAGTTGAATTGGTCAACGACATTTTTATGCTGAAATGGTTTGGTCTTTTTTTTTTTTGACTTTTATTTCTTTTTAAGGAATCGAGTGTAAAATGAAAAAAAAAAAACGACAGAAACCTGAAGATGAAGGAATAAATACAGAAAGGTTTAAATAACTCTATCAAAGAGAAAACGAATTTAAATATTTAACAATTTTTTTTTCTTTCACTTTTTGTTACTGAGTTTAATAAAAGCTTTTTTCTTTTTTTCAATTTTTCCTCCTCTTTTGAAATCTTGTTCGTGTAAAATGAGAAACAAGGAATTAAATTTTTCTTTTAAATACAACTGATAAAGAAAGGTGGATTTTCGCAATGTAATTTCTTTTGTCCTTCTTTTATTATTATTATTAATTCCAGGAAAATCTGTTGGAAGATTAAAAAGGGGTGAGGCCAAAAAAAAGTCTGTTATTTATCACATGTGTCTGGTTTTGTTTTCAATTCTTTCTCTTTCAGTTCTTTTCCTGTATATTTTTTGGTCCTTTTTATTATTATTATTATTATAATTCCAGGAAAATCTGTTGGAAGATGAAAAAGGGGTGAGCAAAAAAAAAAAAAAAGAAAAAAAAAAGTCTATTATTATTATTATTATTTAATTATTATCATCACGTGTGTGTGTGTGTGTGTGTGTGTTTCATTTGTCTTTTTCTCTCTTTTAGTTTTTTTTTTCCGTAGTTTTTGTCTTTTTTTTTTTTTTTTTAAAAGTCCTTTTATCATCTACTGATAAATTGTTGTTGAGGGTAAAAAGTCAACAAATCCGTCTGTGGTTAAGCAAAGAAGACTTTGCTGCAAAATAACCAACACTGACGCAACCCCTTCTTGAAATAAACAACGTCGTCCATCTTCTCCTCTTAAATACATGGAAAGAAGGAAAGAGAGAAAAAAAAAAAAAGAAGACGAAGCAATTAAAAAAAAAACAAAAAAAAAAATACTAGGTAGGTAGTATCAAAAAGATTATTAGATATGCAGTCAGACTTGTGTGGGGTCTGGAGAAATGTGTCTCCGTCTCTTCCAGGAAAAATAAAAACCACGGCTGCTGCTTCTTTAACGTCGCCGTCACTGCCAAGGTTGAGGCGCAGTAACCTTCACGGCAAGGTCAACCGGTGACAGCGGAAAATTATTCCCTCTGAAAAAAATATACTTATACTCAAAATTTGAGAGAATCTTAATTCGTTATAGCAAGAAATCCAGCAAGTTCAAATTCCAGTCGAATTTATTACATTCACTTGCGCACAAGAATCAATTTTCACCCTCTAGCTATGGGTTAAACTGTAAAGCAGATTAGACTGTTCAGCCTTAGCTGGCAATCAGTCTAGGAAAAGGTTAGACATGTAGCTAGTAACCTCATCTCGTAAATCCTACTATGACCCCCTATACTACTTTATTGAAGTCCAAAAAACCTGACAATGGCAAATAATATATAAATGAAAAATGAAAAAAAAATCCTCAAAAGCAAAAAATGTAACACCAAATCACTTATTTCAAGCACAGAATCCTTCAAAATAAACTATTTTTCTCAATATTTTGCAAAGATCTGTATGCACATCTAACCCTACTCATCTTAGTGCTAGGACGTCTCGTCTAACAGATTATTAGTGTGAATGTGATCCTCACTAAGTGACTCACAAGTGTGGCCTGGTGCCAGAATGTGCCAAACTTAATAAATATTAAAAAAAGAGAGATTGTTATTTTTTTTTAATCATTTGACCCCAAGAAAGGCAATAAAGCCACTAAGATGCAAGAGGATTACTGAGTGTTGGAAATAATGAAAAAAATATTCTATTAAGATGAGAGGAGCCTAAAAGAACAAGAATTAAGAAGATAGAACACAGTGATTGACATTGCATTTAAATTTTTGAAGACCAATTTGGCTGGAAAGTATGAAGCCGGAAGAGAGTTCCACAGGCGAGAAGTGAGAACAATAAAGAAAGAGGAATCTAGAAGACAGTAAATAACGATTGACATTGCATTTAAATTTTTGAAGATCAAAGTTGTCTGGAAAGCATGAAGCCGGAAGAGAGTTCCACAGGTGAGAACTGAGAACAATAAAGAAAGAGGAATCTAGAAAAAAGTAGATAACAATTGACATTGCATTTAAATTTTTGAAGATCAAAGTTAACTGGAAAGCATGAATCCAGAAGAGAGTTTCACAGGCGATTGATATTGCATTTAATTCTTTGAAAATCAACATTAACTGGGAAGCAGGAAGAAAGTTCCAAAAATGAGATGAGCAATAGAAGAAACTGTTAATATAGAACTTAAAAATGATGAGACCTTGTTGCCAATTTAGTACTGCATTTAAATTCCTAAAGTCCAGGAACCATAGAGGAAAGTTCATCAGAACAATAACCATGAAAGTATTTATAGAAAAGACACAAGGAAGATGCATTACAGCAGTGAGAAAGGGACTGAAGCTGAGATGACACGTTAGCGGGTAACATGCAGGGCCTTCCAGATTTTTACACCAGCAATTTTAACAATAAAATATCCTGCAACACATTACTTATTTTTTTATTATAGGAAAGAAATGCTATTTCCAACACAATTACATATGCCTAAAAGATTCAACAATACAACACATATTATTTAAATCAAAGTGTCTATTGGTTAGTAATTAACATCCCCATGCAAAATATTTGACCAATCAGAGAAAACTAAAAGGCTATTTTTCTTGAGCCTACATTCAAGAAAAGTTTCAGCATGTTTGGACCTTTGTGCCCACAAAAAAATGGAGGGTCAAAAGAGAGTTTTCCTTTGATGCGACTATTATTTTAACTACCTTCACTCCTTAGCAATGTTTGTTCTTTTAAAAAGTGATTTGTAATAAAACCCTAAAATATGCTGAAATTGAATTTATACATTTTTTTAACAAAAAAAATATTAAACACAAATCATCTCCAACAATGACAACAAACACAATCAGTGTATCTTCACTAACGATAAAAGTCATTTTTCAACCACCCCTTTTTTCTCTGGACCAACTATTTAAAAGTCTTTTCTAAACGACAGATTTTCTGTGTACCAATAACCCAAAAACTTTAATTCAACTAAAGACTATTTTTAATACTTTTTAGCTCTTTTGAATTCATGTACATATGTTTGTAAATTATTGTTTGGAATTCAGATGTTTGAATTTTTTTATATGAAATAACCTGGATAACCAAATTTCTAACATGTTAACAAAGACAAATATATAATTCAATATATATATAAGAAGAAATAACTGAATTAAAAATTAAATGAATGATTAAAGAAAGAACAGGTTGTTAATGACAGTGAAGCATTGTCTATGGATATGGCTATATGGATGTGATGGTGGTTTAATGGTTAGAGGCTCAGAACAAGAAATTAACAAACTTTTTGAGTTTGCACCAAGGTTGTAAATTTCACTTTTGCACAAAACTTCTTTGAGAAAGATATGAATCCATCCCTCCCCTCAGCTATGGGTTAAATAGTAGAGCAGACTGAGCTCTTTAGTCATGATTTTAGGCCTCTGTTGATCAGGGTTGACAATGGGTAGCATCGTAGTTGTCTGCTTGGCTGGAGCATTGACGTCTGTGACTGTAGAGGCTGATGCGAGAGTGACAATCTCTGTTGCATAGGTTGCATGTGTGTTCTGTCTCTGGTCTGTTGGAGCAGCCATTTTGCTTTCTGCAGGTCTGCCTTTCCGTGGCGACTTGTGCCTCCTGACTTGAGATGTTTTGTCAGTGTTCCTCTCCATTTGGATCATATGGCTGCTAGGCTCTCCCAGGACTCTGTGTTGATGGTCCGCAGTCATGATTGCCAACCAATATAGGAGAAGGAAAACTGAATTCAAAACCATATGAGCCTCTGGTAGGGTACATACTTTAACTGTAGCTAAAGCTAAGGTCGGCCTAGCACAGTTGCAGTATAAAACACAGGTTGGTTTTCGGGGTATTAAAGAAATGCAAATAGGCTGGAGCAGTTGAGCATGCTCAGAAACAAGCAGCCATGCTGAAGATAAAAAATCAAAACGAGCTGCTGTGTGTCTTAAAGTTAAAACAGTTCTGATTACAATATTTTTTTAATCTTTTCACCCAAAGTAAGGCAATAAAGCTACTAAGATGCAAGGGGTTACTGAGTCTGAGACAAAATGAGATAAAAATGGGAAAACATGGATAAAATTGCCCACAATAAGACAGATAGTCAAAATGATGGGGTTTTTTTTCTTCTCATGTCACCACTTTTTTAAAAAGTGTTAGTTTTAAAAAAAAAGGAATGATTAAAATTCTAATAAAACCTAAACATATGAAAGTAAATTTATAAATTTTCTTTGTTCTTGAGAATTGACAACAAAAATAATAAATACTATTTATTTATTAGATTGTTTAATGAAATTATTTATTGGAATAGAAAAAGATCAGCTAATTGACAATCGATTTGAACTTTATAAAAAAAAATGAAAATTTGCTTTGCCCATGAAATTATGTCAATGCTGAATTTTAGAACTTGAGACAATTATTAAAGTTCAAAGAATACATTGATCGAAATAGAACCAAGAGAAAGATGAGACTCATTTAAATGTTGGTAAACATGGAACTTCTTGGCTGCAATAAAATGTAGTGTCAAGAGGACATTTTCTTTTCCTTGGACACTGCTTTTATTTTAATTACTTTCACTTTTTGGCAATGTTTATTGTTTTAAAAAGCAATGATTAAAAATAAAACTGGAATAAAACCTAAATATATGATGAAAGTGAATTTATACATTTTTTTTTGGGGGGGGGGTCTTGAGAATTGACAACAAAAATAATAAACTCTAATTATTTATTAGATTGTTTAGTTATATTATTTATTTATTATTTATTGGAATAGTTGGCAAAACAACAGGCAACTGTCAATCCCAGTGACTATGGAATCCACTCGGCTGGCTATCTGATACTTCTTGCAGAAACCTATTCAGTCATTACAACAGCTACAGATCCAGCTTCCAGTTTATATTATAACTAGGCTGATCAGACCATCATT